CAGCCCCAGCCCTATGGCCGGGCAAGGGGTGGGGCTATGGAGCTGAGCCCAGAGCCTGGGTGTCAGCGTATCTGTTCGGCCACAGAAGTCATCACTGTTATAAGCTTAAAAAAATGCCTTAGGAGTAGCACCTTCAGCTACATAAGCCAATTTCTGAGGAAGGAAACAGCTGGATATTTTTAATAGGAAAAGCTTTAAGTAGGAAAAGCTCCTTTCTGTTGTGTCAGTGGGGGTGGTGCCTGTGAAGCTGGTGGGTTACGCTGGTGGAGATATGGGACTGCAGAGAGCTTCAGCTACAAAACAGGCTGGCCTGGAGATCATCAGGTTTCCCTGGATGTGACTAGTCAGGTGGCACCAGCAGATAATGCCTAGAGAGTACGTGTCTGTGTCCTGTCCCAGGGATTTCTGCAAACGGCCTCCCACGCTGGGGGCACAGCTGCACTCCCCGCTCCCCGGCCGTCCCTTATCTCCCCGCGCAGACCTGCGCCCTGACCTCACGTGAAACCAAGCCCTGCGCCTGGGCCGTGGATAAAGAGCTGGCCAGGTGATGGGACCCCCGTCTGGTGGCCTCGCTCCTCGCACGGCACAGCTCGCTCTGGTGGCTGGATTCCTTCAAGCGCTCGGCCAAGTAAGTGATGCAAAACGCTTTTTTTGCTCTTTAAAATGTGCCGGGAGGGGCAGCTCTGGGGGGCTGTTGATTGTTTCCTTGCAGCAAGGAGCAGGAGAGGCTGCAGCGCTGTGAGCTGGGGCTGTCCCTCCATGTCCTTGTGCTGCTGCAGGGTGGGACAAGCAGGGGACCACACTGAGGTCCACCGCAGCCAGACAGGTTGAGGGAGGGTTTTAAAAGGGCTTTGCAATTCAAAACTGTTAAATTTCATCCCCGGGCACCCAGCCCAGCCATTCCCACCTGAGCATTTAACCCATTGTGCTGCCCCTGCAGCTGAAGCGAAGCAGGCACTTCTGCACCCGCGCCCCCCACTCCTCCACCCAAGTCTCCCTGGGGAGAGGATGGGCAGGGATCAGCAGCAGCCTCTGCCCTGGGGAGCCTTGCGGGGCAGCTGGCACATATCTAACCTCGCATTGGTTTCTCTTCAAAGCCAGTGGCTTTCAGCCTCCTGTATTTGCTGACCTCTCAACATTTTTAAAAAAATAACTTTTCATAGCAAATTTACCCTCCCAGCGTAAGTTTTTTTGCAGCTTTGATGGACACCCAAGAAGCAACCCACGGCCCTTTCCCCTGCTCCCACCCAGGGCTGTGAATCACAAGCTGGAAATTAATGTCCCAGTACAATGCTTATGGCTATTAAACCCCAGCTAATGTTGGCTGAGTGTTTCCAAATGACTCGATGGAAATGGTGGGCTTTACGTGGCTTCTGATGGGTGTGCATCAGTGACTTCACTTCCTAACTGCAGGTCAGAGCCCTAAATGTTAAGCACTAAAGAGTTCATCTGTGGATATTTCAGAGCCTTTTAATGAGCCTTGCTCTAAAGCTTGGTTGCTGCTCACAAGTTAACCATTTCTATCTGACAGAGCTGCATAACCGGGGCCAAAATATGATGCAATTAGCAAGAATCCTGAAAAGGAGATGCTTAAATGACTCCCCTGGACTGAGAGAAGCACCAATGAAATAGCAAGTCCACCCAGCACAGTGTGGAAATACTGAATAAACAAGGTCATCTGGTCTTGGCTGGCTCCTGGGACCCTTTTCGGGTCCCTCATTAGCAAGCGCAGGGCTGATTGCTTCTGTTGTTGCATGAATGGGCTATTGCCCTGCTGAGTAACTGGACCCACTGGGGCAGCGCTAATGGGCAGCAGCACTTTGCCTTCTTCATCCAGACAGATGCCGAACCTACAGCCCAAACATGGGAGAAGGATGGTCAGACAACAGACCGTCCAGCCCTTGCCCCTCCTGGAGTTCTCCTACCATGAGCTGGCTTGCTCTGCCTTCCTCTCCATCCCTTGGTACCAACGGCAGTGAACTTTTGTGAATGCAGCGTGCATTGGCTTGTATAGTTTCTCTCTTTCTCATAAAATGAGTTATGATATGTGAATAGAAGAGGCCCGAGAGCTGAATGACAGCATGGTACCACAGTTCATGAGCTATGAACAGAGATTTTTTTTGTTCTTCATAACTCATTTTTGAAACCTTTTTTTCAGGACAATGTACCAGCATTTCCTTTTCCTTTTCTTCCTCTCCTTCCATCCCCGTGAATGCCAAGATCAAATCCTGGGTGAAGATCCATATGAAATGCCCAAAGACTACCAAGAGGTCTACAGAGGGACAAAAAATGACGTCAAAGAGATCCCAAAGATTGCAAAGCCCTTCATTTCTGAGATGATCTTCGTGCAAACCAGCATCACTGCTATAAGGAAAGGTGCATTCAGGTACATGCCCAACCTGATCAAGATTTTGTTTATTGGCAACAAGATCAAGACAGTTGAACCTGGAGCCTTTGATAGTTTGGAGAAGCTGAGGGACTTGGAGATATCTGGTGCCTTGTTAGAAGAACTAGCTGTGGGCACTTTCCAAAACCTCCCAAGCTTGCAGAGGCTGGATCTGAGAGACAGCCACCTCAGATACATTCCCAAAGGCCTGTTTGATGGGCTGGAAAATTTGGGAGAGCTCTCCCTGCACATCAATGCAATCCCTTCTCTTCCAGAAGGCGTTTTTGATTCTCTCGTCAATCTAACGTTTTTGGACCTGGCTAGAAACAGGATCACGACTCTTCCTGGGGATGCCTTTAGCAAACTCCCCCAGCTGCAAGTCCTCCGGCTGTATGAGAATGAGTTGCAGGACCTCCCAGAGGGGCTGCTAGACAGTCAGCCAGGGCTGCTGGAGCTCAGCCTCCAGAGGAACAGGCTCAGGGCGCTGCCACCCATGCTCTTGAGGAGCCTGTCTCACCTGGAGAAACTCCTCTTGGACAACAACCTCATTGGGGTTCTCCCACCTCAGGGCTTTTTTGGTTTAAACAAATTGAAGCTGCTGACTCTGGGTTCAAACCACATTACGGAGCTCCCCTGCTGCCTTTTTGACACCATGCCACACCTGCAGGAGCTGGACTTGGGCAGGAACAGTTTGGCCACACTTCCAGACGGCATCTTTGTCAACCTTACATCTCTTGACAAACTCATCTTGTCCCACAACCAGCTAGCAGCTCTACCAAGAGGAACCTTCACTGGGCTCAGCAAGCTCTTGGACCTCCAGCTGGATACAAATCAGCTGTCTGCTCTGGACAATGAGGTCTTTGCTTCTCTCCCAAATCTGAAAACCCTCAACCTTCGGAAGAACCAGCTGGAGAGTGTCCCCCAAGGTCTCTTGGACCCCCTGAAGAAGCTCAGCTCAGTGTATCTGAGTGGGAACCCATGGAGATGTGACTGCAACCTCTGCTACCTGCACAGCTGGATCCTGGGCAACAATGAGAAAGTCAAATTGTCCACCCAGGTGTCATGCAAGAGTCCACCCCACCTGGCAGGGCAAGCAGTGTCATCACTGAGGGCCGACCACTTAATTTGCCCAGCTACTCTGCCTCTTTCAGCTTCTTTTACCCCATCTCTGCCATTCACCTCCACATCATCACAAGGGATATCAACCTTGCTGTCACCTGGAGCCTTGCCCACTGCAGGACCAACCATGCTGTCATTGGCAGCCTTTCCCATCATGGCACTGCCAACCACACTGTCACCTGTGGCCACCTCTGCCATGTTGCCAACCATGCCAACAGAGGCCTTCTTCACCGCTCCATCACCAACCGTGCCATCTGCGGCCTTCATCACCACCCCATCACCAACTGTCCTGCTAGAGACCTCCATCAACACACCATCACCAGCTGTGCTGCCCGAGACCTCCATCAACACACCATCACCAACTGTGCTGCC